CGGCAAGACCAAGTTATGATTGCCGCTCGGAATGGTTGGGAGTCAGGGGGTTTTGCACAGCAAATATGAGTGCATGCAGCTGTACAGTGGCTAAAGTGACAGCCTGCAATTGGCGGAGCAAGTAAGTCCATGTTCAGGAGACCCCACGCCGTAGGCCAGTTTGTGGTGTGCAGTTTGAAGTGATCAGTTGCAGCTGGTTTGGTTCAGTGAAGTATGTTCTGATCCCTGTGCCACAAACAGCGAGGGTTCCCTGTCCAGCTGTGCTTGTTTCTGCTCCCCTCTCCGTGTTTTCGCTGCCTCGCCCACCTCGTCATTGTCAGGCTGGGAGGTGCAGTACTAACTCTGGGGTCTGCTGCTCTCTCTCTCTCTCTCTCTCTCTCTTTCCTTCTCTCTGCTGCACTCTGGTAGTTGGATGATGAAAATGTGAACATCCTCGATTGCCCTCTGACAGTAAGTGCCGCGCTGCTTCAGGTCTCCTCTGTGTCTCTTTTCGGCCTTTAGGAGGGGACACCCCTGCTAAACGGTGACGTGCCTGTTTATTGGTTCCCATGAGACCGGCAGCGTTTGATGTCTTCGCAGTTTTATGCTTGTGTTGTGTTGCTTTATGGTTGTGAGTCATGATGAGTTATGCTGTGATATGGAGACTTGACAGACCATCCTATCAAATATCAAGGATTCGTGTTACCCTGTGTCTGTGTTCAGGCATGCTTGTGGTGCTGTTCTGTCACTGTGTGTGTGTGTGTGTGTGTGTGTGTGTGTGGGTATATGTGTGTGTGTGTGTGTACAAATGTGTGAATGCATGTGTGTATTTGTTGCCAATTTAATTTATCTGAAGTGGTTCTAAAACCTGCATTTATGCAGCACCTACATAACTACCACTATGTACATACATAGTAACTACTGTGTAAATTAATGTTGTGGTTGTTAAACAAGTGTAATTACATGAACCACAAACAGGGGTAATAATTGCAAGGGCTGTGTAACACTACGCAACAGTATGTGTATGTACACAGTAGTTAAACCATACCTGTGTAGGGTGCAGTGTAAATGTACACATGTATTAGGGCCATTTATGCAGGAGGGGTCAAAGTGCTCTCTGATGATGGTCCTTGTCCTCTTCTTGTAGGAGATGGCCCACATCCTGGCACAGAAACAGCTTCGGAACATCATCCTGAGTGTGAGTGTGACCTGAAGCTGGAAGCATCTCCTCCTTTCCCCTCACATGACAGAGAAAAACACCCCTGCTGGACACAGCTAGCACTGCAGAGTGTGTGGATGAGTGACTGTTTATAGGAGGTCACATTTGGTCGGGGTCAAATGTCGAGCAGTGAAAGGCAAAACTTCCACCGTTCATTTCATTTATTTTATAACACAAATCAAAGAAACCAGACATGCTACCAATCTGGGAGAAGAAAGCATTTGGCACACATGGACAATGATCACGAAGTAGGCCAAATTTCACTCACAGTGGGCAGCCTTCTCAAAAGCTGTGAGTGCTGGAACATTGCAGTGTGTAAATCCTGCTTTTCAACGGTCTGGCAAACATGGGTCTGAGCTTCCTGCATAGAAAGTTTGTTCAGGACATCTATGACATCACTGATGGTATACACTAGGGGTCGACCGATATGGTTTTATCAGGGTCGATACGATAATGATTATCTGTGACAAAAAGAGGCCGATAACTGATATTTCAGGCCGATATTTAAATGCTTTTAACATGTTTTTTTTCAGTGTGAAAAGAAATAAGCTGTGACAACATGGACATAATTACAAACCCTCTTTACTTAGTCATATGTTTTCAGGCATACGTCAGTCACCACTATGAAAGTTAAATAAAGAGCAAAAAAGATCAAATGAAAATTCTTTCTCAAAGACAAAAATAAACTAAAAGTTGCAATAACTAAAATGTGCATTGCAATATTGACGTTGTGGGTAAATTTCTCTATGGTTATCTTATTTTGGCTATGCAACAGATGCCTATCGCTAATTCAAAAGCATTCAATTATCGGACGAACGATGGCAATCATTGCGTAAGAAATAAAGCGAATTGATACATTTAGTCTGCATTTTCATCATAAAGTATGACATATCAAACCTTAAAACTAGCCTGTGCGTCCACGCTTTTCCTGAAGCTGCGGGGAGATTCTAGGAGCCCATTTGCTCATAAGTCATTTATGTGAAAAATGGACAGCTCATACAAAAGTAGGGTACCATGTGGAAGGACTTTGATAAAGTTAGCGAAAATACTGTGAAGTGCAAACTGTGTGCTGCAAATTTTTATTTTAATTAACTCGACTTCCATGATGATGAGGCCAAATTAAGAAATATCAAAGCGGCAAACGGGTATTTTCAGCTTTGCCGCGAGGTTCCGACATAAGTGCAACCGCAAGTGAGCTGAAGTTTAATTTCATGAACGTTTGCTTAAACGACGACTGTAATTCAGAAGGCTCTGCTTTAGGGTAAATTTCTTTGAATGTTTCATTTGAAAGAATAAATATACATTATTTGTTAAATATGCAGTGTCAAACTGTTGCAACTTATAGCATAAGTGCACCAATTAGTCCTTATTACAAGTCCTTATTTCTTTTATATTCCAAGCTTGTTTTTAGATTAAGCGTAGACCACTTATACTGCTTCAAAAAGGTCCAGTTAGCCTAGTGCAATTTGGTTAAAGGCATGGTTTGAGCACAGCGACCATTTTACTGGATACTTACCTTCCATCCTTGTTTCCAGCAGCTGAAAACATTAGATTTTCAAGGTTAGATAACGTTGTCTGTCTCGGCCAATGAGGGAATTTTGTGGAAAGAATGTTAGCTAATAGCATTTTTTTCTGACAGAGGAGATGCCTCGGGATAGTTCACGCATTGCGATTAAAAGGTGTTTTTTTTTGTTTTAATCGAGAATTTCGATAAAAAATATGCTGATAATAGATAATCAAAAATTTGCAAATATCGGCCCCGATTATCTAACGACCCGATAATCGGTCGACCCCTAGTATACACACGCCCCCTCTTTCAGTGTAGTACCATGTCTGGCTCAGAGGTATTCAGGTGCCTGGAAGCTTATTAATGCAGGGGATGGTCTCAGTGCACTCGCTCCCAGAAAGCGGTTCTCTCATGAGTGATCGGCATACTCTCTCCAGTCTGTGGCTGTGATGTGAATTCAGCACACACAAAAACAGGGATCAAAACAGGGTAGAATCCAGCTGAATTTGGTCAGCATCTGCAGCCTGTGATGTGGAAGCAAAATCGAAACAACTCGAACCCTCTCTAAAAACTCTGTGTACAGAAGAAAGTGGTAAAGTGGTCTGCTTTAAAATATGTAAGGTTACTGTCCGCTCCATTTGTAACTGCCTTTCATTTGAAATGTGTGTGTCTTGGCATGCCCGATGTTATTTAGCCATTATGTGTGACAAGACAAAGGCTTGAACAGCTCAGTGTGTTTCACACGCACCCTCTCCCTTCCCAGATTTCAGTTGTGCATTGTATGTGGGGGCTTGGATACTCACATCGAAAACAAATTTGAGGGAGTGTTTTTAGAATTCATTAATGCAGCGAGGAGGCCATTAGTCAGACATGATGATCTCAGCTTCCAGACTGAAGGACTGTCGGAGATTACACCTCTCCCGTGTCAGTGCATCGTGGGTAGTTTTAGGATCGCCACACGCTGCCTATTCGTGTGTCTGTTCATACAGTAAGGATCACGGTGTAATGGTTTGAATTCACCAACACACAGCATCGTTCTTCCTCTGTCTATGTCCGTTTCCATGAGCCAATCACAATCTCCCCCTCATCTGCAGAATGTCATCCGAAGCACCAAGCCCATTAACGATGAGATGGCCCATCAGCTGTACGTGCTCCAGGTGTTGACCTTTAACCTGCTAGAGGACAGAATGATGACCAAGATGGACCCCCAGGATCAGGTACCGTAGAGCAGGCTGTAGGAATATAATTACATCTATTGCCAGTAGGGGGAGCAGCAGTCATTTGGTCTGTGTGTATGCCTCAGCAAAGGTATGGATAGATTGGAATGAAACATGGTGAAATGATTCCCTCTGGTACGAGGGAAAATGCAGTGTTAATGCAGTGGTATGTTTGGCTGATATTATTTACTGCAGTTAAACTAATATTGAGTCATCAAGTCACATATATTGAAATTTAAGATGCAAGGAATATATAGTATGTCATTTATTACAAATTAATCAACTATTTCCATGTAATTTCATGGCCATATCATAGATTTTATGCAACCATATATAGTATGTAACCACATACAGTTTTATTCATGAAAATGGAAAAAATTTGATTGATATGACACACTTTTGGTGTATCATTTTGTTTGCATCATGTTTCAGTTATTATTACTGTGATTCCATAGCGAGTGGCATTGTTGAATCTCTGTTTTACCATAAGAACCAGTCCTGAAATAACTGCTAAAATGCAACGTCTAAGAAGCGTTTTATCTTGGGCTTTCATACTACTTCTTACTAGCCCTTTGTGTGTGTGCTGAGGCTACTGTACAAAGGTTGCATGTTTCTCTGATTGGCAGTCCCAGTAATGCTAAGAGAGCAGCATCAGATGTTCATTTTTTTAAGATGCTAAATAGTATGGATATTTCTGCTTCTCAGAGTCTTTCATTCCTCCCCTCCCTCCCCCAGGCCCAGAGAGACATCATATTTGAACTCCGCAGGATCGCGTTTGATGTCGAATGCGAACCGAACAACAGCGGCAGCATCGAGAAGCGCAAGTCCATGTACACCAGAGACTACAAGAAGCTGGGATTCATCGTAAGTGAATAACGGGTCACAAGCATATTACTGACCTGTGCTCTGTGTGCTTAACAATACAGGCTGTCTCTACAGGCAGGGGCAATTACTGTTACAGTACATTCCGGCTGCTTGGTGAATGCGACTTATGTAACTCATGTTTATATGTTATCCATTTATACAGCTGGATATTTACTGAGGCAGTTCGGGTTAAGTACGTTGTCCAGGCGTAACATAGCAGCGGCCCACCTAGGGACTGAACCAGCAACCTGTGGGTTATGAGCCCTGCTTGTTACCACTACACCACACTGCTATCCACTGGATCTCAGTATCTCAGGCAGCAAACTGAAGCAGTGTACTGTGTTCTGGGGTACTCAGAATACTGAGATTTTTCCTCAGGTATGACTTTGAAGTTACCTGTGAGATCATCAAGGATTTTCAAAGTCACTGCCCTTCTGGGGTCTCAGGAGTGGTTTTTACATTTTGCATATCAATTGACCAAAGTGCATTCATATTTGGCCCCTCTTTGCATAATTAAAGGACGTCTGTGCAAATTCTCCTCTGTTCAGTTCCCGTAAAGCGGCAGTACTGTGTTTGGTGGCACTGCACATGTGTTCAGACTGACCCTCTTGGCTCGCCAGTGAGTAGACCAGAGGGCAGTATAGCACTCGTTCATCCTTAGCAGGTGTGAGGGAACACAACACAAGCTGTGCCTCCTCCACATCACAGATGTGAGAACAGTGGAAGAGTGTTTCTGTCTGGGATTAGGTTCGCTTGGCATTACTATAAAAGTTAGCGTTAGCATCAATGTTAAGGTTGGTTTAGTTTTTGGTTAGTGTTCTAGGTTGTCTCTTTCAGCGTGCCCAGGGAAACATTCTGATTGTCTTTCTGATTGACTACGCTGCCATCCCTACCCTGCATGCGTGACCTACTTCTGTTGCTCCTGCTCTCACGATGCTTATTTTGTTGCATTGCTTTCTGTTCAGTTGTTTTGTTATTGTGCAGAATGCATCAGGGTTGTCAGTCTGGCTGTTCAAATGTGACGGGGGTGATTAGGTGTAGAGTAGGGGTGCAAGCACACACACACACACACACACACACACACACACACACACACACACACACACACACACACACATATGCATACAGGGAATAGAAAGACTTACATACATGTGTGCAATCCACAGCTCAGTATTTATTATTACTATTAAAACCATACACGGGAGGAAAAAATTACCACTTTTTCATATCAATTTTGCAACTGACAGTAGATTTTGATGACTGGCTGAGAGATTCTGAAATGAATATTAAAACTTCTGAATCATTCATGGGAGTGGAATGTTTCCTGCATTTGAAAATGACAGCCTCTGATTCCAGATGGTACGACATGCAAATAAAAACAGACCGGCAGCTCGAGCATATTTACACAATAGCAGTGGCAGACCTCTTTTGGCGTTCTCCTTCAGAGATGAGAGCGGAGCCGTCGGCTTTGATAACCGCGCTGTCTGAACGCGCGGAACGAAAGAGTGCCGAGAGGGAGTCGGGTGAACCCTCTGACCAAATTTAAGGTGCAGCGGGGAGCCTAATGCGGGTGTCAGGTTTAATAAAGCCAGGGCCGTAATCTCGCACAAACATTACAGTCCCGCAGCTTTGCAGCTATCAGTCCAGTCACACACGACCCTGTGTAGTCAAACAGCCAGCAGGCATGGCAAAGCTTATGAAACAACACGCCAAAGTTCAGCACGGTTACCAAAGGGGTCTTTATTTAATTGTCATGCGGGCGAGATCAGGTGCGGGGCTGGCGTGGTAAACCCCATCATTCTGTCGATAATTTCATTGCTCGGCCAACCCGGATGATAATAGATGTTTACGTCCGTCTTTGCCTCAGCTCGTCCGGTGCGGCGGCCCTTTCCGTGGCCCTGAGGAACCCAGCCACTAATTCCCGGCAAGCCACCAGAGCTGCGGCCGGCCCTCGAAGTTTCCGCACGCCAGAGTGGCTCCTTGCGATAAGGGCGCGCGGTAATTTACACCGCGGCGCGGGAATCGCTACACTCTGTGCTCGGGGGCGTTGTGAGGAAGGGAGAGCAAAGGGCACGGGCCATTTGTGGATTGGCGTCCACAGGCTGCCCTGCAAGCTGTAGGCTGCCCCTCCCACTTCTGAGTAGCTTCTAAAGGGGATTAATAAAGTATGCCACAGAGGCATCTCAGGATGAGCGCCCTCAACAATAAAATGTCAGAAGAAAACTAGATGTCGTAAGCGGAGACAAACATGCTTAGAAAAGCTCCTTCGTTTTTGCAGTGAAAGCAGAGAGCGTTAGAGTGTTTAAGGCCATTGCTGGATGTAGTGCTGGATAGACTAGACTATAGATGGAATGAGGAGTCTAGCTGAGCAGAATGGCCTGTTTTCTCTATCAAACTTCTTTTCCTTCTGTGTAAATGCAGTGTGTCTCTCCATATGACCCCATATCTCCGTTTTCTCTGGAGATTCCCCCTCATTTTAGCTCCAGCTTCTGTGCTGTGCAGGACTCTGGATAGGGAGCTTAACTTGTACCCCAGGTACCCCCAGTGGGGGGCACTGCTGTTGTACCCCTGAGGGAGACACTTGAACTGAATGTAAATATCTGTAAATATCCAGCTGTATAATTAGGCAAGAGTGAGGTATGTTAGTTGCCTTTAATGGATAATATCTGCTGAGCCAATGAATATTACAAGTGAACATGGGATTACACTACCACCTGAGAGACTGGCTACCATTTGTCTGTTTTAAAGCATTAAAAGCTATTTTCCATAGTAATAGAACTGGGGTAATAGACCTCGCTGGGTCTTCCAACAGTGAATCCCTCAGTACTTCAATGAGGGAACATTAACGTCTAAGTGGTGCTGAATTCTCACTAAAGATGGACTCCTGGTGGACTCCAAAGACATTCCCAGCTGCGTGCTCATTCCCTCTGAATGTCATGGGGGTTTTAAGGGAAAATCCTCAGTCTGCTCAATCATTTTGTCTCTCTTGGGGAGTGCATATGCGCAGAGATAGGAAATGAAAGTTTTCCGTCCTTCTTTCCCAGTAAGTCCTTCGAACAGCAGGTTGCTGGGCGGAGTTACGCGGCTTCGACGTTGGCAAGCTGTCCGTCGCGTTTGGCGCCTTCCGTTTTGTCCGCGATGACACACCGTGCACAGCTCCCCGCCGCTGGGTTTCTCGATTCCCCCGGCCGTCTGAACCCGCCATCCGCAGCAGGGGCCTGTCAGGTGTTGGACACCCTGCGAAGGGAACGGCGGCGGCGTCCAAATTCAGACAGACAGCCATGCAAAATAGCGCCGTGACGCAAGTCATGTCTTTGTAGTCATTATCAAATTCAGTTAGCGCCACCGTGAGTGCAGCGTGGGCCGGATGGCAATGGCCTCTGACAGCTGACGGACAGTAACGTGCAGTGCGCAGTACCTGAGCTCTAATGCACTGCTGGTTCAGAGGGGTGATAGAGATTGTGGGTGGGGCAAGAGGAACTCGGTACCTTGCATTTAAATTCACTTCTTAAAATGGAAATACATTTTCCCACTCAGCTCTCATATCTCTGTGTCACTGTAGCATGTACGGATAGCATCCTGCGTGTGTTTCTAAAATTTAGATTTATACAAATACACAGATATATAGACGTATATAAAGTTGTCCTTAAATATGGATGATGATATGTAATAATAATAACGATAATGGATATTTCTTCTGCATTCTTATGATTTGTAAGAGGAAAAAAGCAGTAAAACTGGTGTCGTGTATATTTGAATTGCATTTACAGAACTGTGGCACTTGCAGTTCTGCGGGTGGTCTTTAGGAAAGGCCTCCTCCAGTAAATAGCACACAGTGAAAGCTGTGTGTTTAGCATGCTGTGGCTCGATACCTCTGGGGCTTTGGTCGCTTTTGTAAATAGAGGCTGCTGAGCTACAGCGAGGGTTGCACGTTGTTTTCCGACCTGAAATCAGCACTGATTTCGATCAGAGGAAACGCCGGCGCAGTGTTTTGGGGGAGCGTGCGGGTGGGGCGGGGGTGGACGTAGGGGCCCGGTAAACCCTCTTCTCGAGCAGCTTGCGCGGCACTGAAGTGTGTCAGCGGCGGGATTTGAGGCCCCCCCCGCCGAGCCGCCAGCCCTGACGTGCTTTATAACGCATTAAAAATGAACGGCGGGCGGACAGATGGGGGAATAAAGCACGCTTTTACGATCAGATTAAGAGATCGACATGGAGGCCCTGCAGCACAGAGACTCAGCAGCGTGGCCTGCTGCTGCAGGAACTGGAGCTGCAGTTTAGGTTTTTTAGGCTTAAATCCAGTCTGGATCACCGTGGTTCCCCCCATGAGCCTGTCCTTTAAGATATATATATCCACCGGTATCAATGGAAAATATGTAATATTTAACCTACAGTGAAAAATTTGGCATGGATAAGAGCTTTCGCTAAGCAAGTGGGTTATATAACATAAAGCTACTGCAGTGTTTTCTACCTTGCATGTGTTTGCTCACACTTTCCCTCCTCCTCCTCCTCCTCCTTCTTCTCTCCCAGAACCACGTCAACCCTGCAGTGGACTTCACACAGATCCCCCCGGGAATGCTGGCCCTGGATAACATGCTGTACTTCGCCAAGCACGCCCAGGACGCCTACATCCGGGTGAGCTCCCGCCGCATTCCGGAACCATCCGGAACTTCTCCCTCACACATAGCTGTCACGGAGCCTTCCGCCCGTCGTGCTGCCGTCACAAAACCCTCTCCCACGCACAGTGCTGTCTGAAGGCCTGCTCCATGTTCTTCAAGGCTTTAAGGACCGCTAATGGGTCTAGTATACAGACTGGAGTGGTGAATGCCTTCAGCAAACAACAGTTTACCTGCTTAGCCCTGTTTTTGCTGTTTCTTCTTTGAACACATTTGGATAGTGTGCACAGACAATTATTTTAAGGTAACAGTAATTATTCCAAATTCCAAATTATGTCAATTATTCCAAATTATGATTAGTGTGAGTAGGGTTCTGTCAAATGGGTGGAGTTTTTATAAAATACTGAAGAATGATAAATTAAGTGATTTCATTTTTCATGGCAGTAGATGATTAGCAAGCTAACTTGCTCATGTGGGTAACATCAGCTATCTTTGGATTAAGTATACTTTTTTAATTGTCTGTTCAAAGTAACATCCACAGTCCTGTCCTACATTGAAAATACAGAAATGCACACCACCATTTTGCATCTGATAGGTATTGTTTACAACAAACCGTTCGAAGTTCTTGTCTTTTCAGTAATGATTTTTATGAAGTAGAAAGAAAGGAACATGTTCCAAA